GGGAGGTGGCCGTGCGGCCGCTGCTCTCCGCCTCCTACTCGGCCTTCGAGATGAAGGAGCTGCCGCAGCTGCTCGCCTCGGTTATCGAGAGGTGCGGGGCGCGCGCCCCCTTCCCCCCCTCCCCCGCGGCGGGGGGAGCCTCTCTCGCGGTGCCCGGGGCTGCCTAGGCCGGTTTTTACCGGGTGTTTGTGGCCTGATCCGTGAGGGAGCGCGGCCCGGTCAACGCCCGCGCCCCGAGGCCCTGGGCCCTGCCGCACGTTGGGGAGCAAAGGCCGCGCTCGGGACGGGCCGGACGCGGGTGCTTTGGGCCGGGCCTCCTGCCCCGGGCCGAAACGGGTGGAAAGGCCGGGCTCGTGGAGGCGGCCGGGGGCCCCCGCGCTGCACAGCGCAGAAACAGCGGCCCCGGGCTCCGAGTCGGGGCCTCTGCGCCCTGCGCAAGTGACTTGTCCCCCCGTGGGTCCTGGTGGGAAAGGCCGTGTCCGCTCAGCTCCTCCTCAGCAGAGGGTTGTTGGGGGTGTCCGTGTTGGTTGGTGTCACCCGCAGAGTAACCCCCCGAAAGCCGGTGTGTTGTGGAGGCGACAAAGCCGGGAACGTGGCCCCGCTGGAAATGACCGTCTTGTTTGTGATTTGTGTGTTTTCCTCGCGAGGGGCTGCTTCACCTTCATCAGCGGCGTCCCTCCCCGCAGGCACCTTCAGGAACTGGGAGGCTTCGGCCTCTTCTTTAGCACAAACTGGCTTGGAGAGACGGTTGGCTGGGGACGCGGGCGCTTTGCGAGCTCTCAGGTGGTCAGATAGGACTGATTTTTCAAGGGAGGGTTTTCAACAGCAAGAGAGCCCCTGCACGGGCGGCTTCTGTGTCTGCTGCTCTACATAAAGGCTCTGGTTTGGGCCCATTTAAGATTTGGAAGCAGAGCTGAGAAGGGCAGTGGTAGCTGTTGCTGATGTGTTATATTCAATACAGGTGTGGAGGCTTCTGAGTTAGAGTAAGGATTTGTTACATGAAGCAGGCGTTGAAGCAACTCTCACCACACAAAGCCTAAATCATTACTAAATTTCATTATATTAAAAGTATTATTCCAGCATGCTATTGTTTACCTGCCAAGGCTTGATGATGGTGATTAGTTGACACAACCTTCAGCTTTTAACGGTTTTACTACTGTAAGATACTCCTGAATTGTGTGTATGGAATTTAAGCCTCTTGTTTTCAAGCTGACGTGGAAGCTTTGGCACCTTTTTATTTTTATACCCCATGGATTTCACACATTGCACAGCTTGACCTATGCAGTGGAATGGAGAACAGAAGAGCTGCCAAATTCTTCCACGCTGTATTTTCTCTGTATTTGTTTTGTGGGAGAAAAGAAGTCCCTGTGTTCAGTGGTTTGTTCCATTTCAGTGACATTCTCCCTTAAGAAAGAAGAGAGGATTTAGGATAGAGCAAGGGAGGGTGATCTGGTGTAAATAGGCCGTGTTGGGTGGGCTGGGAACAGTGCCTGCTTCTCCCCGGCCCCGCCAGCATTCCAGGTTCCTTGGGAAGTCCTCGTTGCCCTCCCTTCACAAGGGAAGAAAGGAGCTCGTCTTGAGGGTGCAGAGGGCTGCGTTGAGGAGAAAAGTCAAGTGTTCGTGAAGCTGAGCAGTGCAGTGAGCTTGCCCGTTTGTGTCACTGAGTAAAAGTTGCTGTCATCTGAAAAAGAGAAAGGAAGTTAGTCACTTAGCGGACAGATGTCCTCCTTGCTTAGAGTGGTCACAGTAAAATTCCCTGCAGTCAGGGCTCTGTTTCTGCTTCCCTTCTGGTTTCTGTGCTGTGAAGTCTCGCTGCTGCCTTTAGTGCATCTTTTATATGTGTGAGTAGTGTGGAAGCCTCCCTGAAAAGCCTGTGTCGGTGAATTATTTTACCTTGCAATTTTTGCTTTTGATTTACTTAAATTCTGACTCACTCCATGCTTGGTGTTAGTTTCTGTGGGGGGAACAGCGAAATGATGCAGGTTTGAGAGGTGGAAGGTCCGTGTATCGTTCCCTGTAACCTGCCTCGTGGGTATTTTTCTCTGCTGTGGTTTATGCCTGGCCGCCTGCTTGTTGGCACATCGTGTGTTTGTTATTATCGCCCAGTTACTGCCGAGTTTGATCCTCTGATTTTGCAGAATTGCATAAACTTTAGTTGACAATGTGCCATGGTGGGGAACAAATGCCTGTAATCCCAGCACTGGAAAACGCTGCCTAGAAAAGCTGTGCAGACCTCACAGATGAAGTTAGAATAGCGCAAAGGTTCCTGACTCCTGGCAGAGCTTTGGTTAAGAGCACTGACGTGTCGACAGTGTAAATAACAAATACTCAACAGTGCAAATAACAAATCCTTGCAAACACCAAAATTACTTCCTTAAACTTACCATGTGGAGCCCAGATCTACCTGCTGCTGGCCCTGAAGATGTGCGGGATGGATGTAGGGCAGAGGCTCCTGGCCTCCAATAGTGTTTCCTTCCCCACTTGCACATTGGGAAAGGGTGGTTTTAACAATCTTTGCTCGTTGCTGGACACACCACGCTGTGGGCAGCCCTTCCAGTCTAACGCACATGTCTTCTGTTCTCTCCCCACAGCGAGTCTGAGATCCTGCACCACGACAAGCAGTACGAGCCCTTTTACTCTTCCTTCGTTGCCCTTTCTACGCACTACATCACCACTGTGTGCGGCCTGAGTAAGTGCGCACCGCGTTTTGGGTTCTTTTGGCCCCGTCTTGTGACCGGGGTCTGAGTACCCTGGAATTGTTACCTCATATCCAGTTCTGTTTCTTCGTTGTAAATCAGTGCGACTGCATCAGGTTGGTGTTGTTGGCTTTTGTTCTGACAGAATGGGAATTCAGATGGAAAGGGACGTTCGTGGACATCAGTGTTGGGCCTCAAATAGTTGCTCTTTCGTTTGTTGGCCTGACTTCACCTGTTTTGGTCAAATGAAGCATTTGAATGCATTTTCAATACTTCAGAATTCATTAGCGTACCACATTAAAGTTATTTTACCACATTAGACTTTATGATCATAATCTTTTGATTAAAACCATTTTAGGTTATTTTATCCAGATGAACTTGATAATTTCTGTGAAAGACCCGATCTGTTTCATGTTCTTCTGTGCTTTGGTATTAAGCAATAAATGTTGCTAGGGAAGCCATTGCATCTGTTTCTCTAGTCTCTGCCTCTATGCAGGAGGTTTTATCCTTATGTTACAGATGTTTCTTTTGTTGCATTATGAGACTGACTGATGGGACCGAATTTATATTGTGCCTGGGTCTTAGACATGATAGGTTATGTGGGCATGTGTGTGCTATAGCGTTCAGTTACACTGAAAGCGTGGAGAATTCCTTATTTACTGTTCAAAAACTCCAGCTGACTGGTGCAAACATCTGCTTTCTTTGCAGTACCAAGAAACCAGCTGCAGTCGGTGGCAGCTGCTTGTAAAGTTCTGATCGAGTTCTCGCTGCTGCGCCTGGAGAACCCAGACGAGGCGTGTGCCGTGTCACAGGTGGGCACACGTTTTGCTTTGTCCCTGTGAGCAACAGGCCTCTTTTTGCTGCGTATTCGCCTCTGCTGGATAAAGCAGAACTAGAGAAGTTCTGAAAACTGGAGATCTGGCACTGTGATAGAGGCTGCCTCTTCCCTGCTCGCTCCCTCCTCGGAATTTGAGCTTGTGAGCACTGAAATGAGTGTAGCCTGGAGCTTTGCGTAAACTTCTTCAGTAACCACAGCTAATTCAGGAGTTTCTGATGCCATTTCCTGAGGTCTGCTTAGTTTTTATGTAGCAGTGATGGTCAGAGCTGATTGCCAGTCTTTCAGGACTGATTCTTCTCCGGCTGTATTTTAGTCCTCCCTGAAAAGCTTTGATCTAAAAAGGCTGGAAGGGCAAAGCATGTTACATTGTTAATTAAATCAGTTCAGACACTGTAGCTTCCGACAGGGCCTGCTTTAAGCCCGAGTAAGAAAGAGCTTTTTCAGGCAATGTTCCACAGGGCAGCGTTAGCTGAGTCAGCTCCAATCCCTAAGCCTCATGGTCAGTTTTACTTGACGTATGTCTCTTTGCAGAAACACCTGATTCTGTTGATAAAGGGGCTGTGCACAGGCTGCAGCCGCCTGGATCGAACCGAGATCATCACCTTCACAGCAATGATGAAATCGGCCAAGCTGCCTCAGACGGTCAAAACGCTCTCTGATGGTAGGTGTTTCACCCTGCGGTTGGGCTAGACCTAGGAAATACAGCGATGAACTGATGTTTTGCTGCTTCCTGTACAGTAGAGGACCAGAAGGAGCTGGCCTCGCCGGTGAGCCCAGAACTGCGACAGAAGGAAGTGCAGATGAACTTCCTGAATCAGTTGACATCGGTGTTTAATCCCCGAATCTCCTCCTCATCATCAACCACACCAGAGACACAGGTGAACAAACAGCCCTAGGACAGAAGGGCTCTGTTTTTTAGTGTTAATCTTTACACAGAGAAGGACGGTGGGCAGCAGGTGGTGGTTTTTTAGTACGTGTGTATGAGTAAAACCTGTCTTTACTGCTTAAATCTCACTTGCCTGTTGAGGAATGAAGTAGCAGAAAATGCAGTATGCCCAGTGGCAGTAAATACAATACAATCACAACATTGTAATGGTTTGGTCGTGTTAATATAGGAGGGACGTGGAGCTTCTGGAGAGGGTCCAGAGAAGGGCAACCAGGATGATTAAGGGAATGGAACATCTCTCGTATGAAGAGAGGCTGAGTGAGCTGGGCCTGTTTTCTCTGGAGAAGAGACGGCTCAGAGGGCATATGATTAATATGTATAAGTTCAGGAAGGGAGAATGCAGGGAGGAAGGGGACAAGCTGTTCTCACTGGTGGCAGCGATAGGACGGGGGGTAATGGCCACAAGCTGAAACACAAGAAGTTCCGTCTCCAGGTGAGGAGCAACTTCTTTACTGTTAGGGTGACAGAGCAGTGGAACAGGCTGCCCAGGGAGGTTGTGGAGTCTCCTACTCTGGAGGTCTTCAAAACCCGCCTAGATGCCACCCTGTGCCACATGCTCTAGGTGTGCCTGCATGAGCAGGAAGGTTGGACTAGATGATCTGTAGAGGTCCCTTCCAACCTTAAATATTCTGTGAATCTGTTCTGTGAATCTGTAATGACTGATGGAAGCTAAGGTTTTCAGTGGTAGTTGTACCTTTGAGTTGCATTGCTGCCAATCCCTCCTCCTGCATAGAGACTCAGTGCAATCCCGTATACTTTAAATGCTTCCATGGTGTATTTAGTGTGTGCTTGTCTTCAGGTGGAAGGAGAAAATGAAGACCAAGCTTCCACTGATCAAACCTCTGCTGCAAAGACGAAAAGCATATTCATCGCGCAGAACGTGGCCAGCCTGCAGGAACTTGGTGAGAATCAGATAGGTTCAGGCAAAAAAGTGCCAGAGGAAACATCTGTCCTGTGTTACACCCCGTGGCTTTGAGTAGGAGGAAAATTTCTGACCAAAAGCTGCTCTCTGGTCATTGTATTGGATGCTGTCATTGCCAGGGAGGTGTCACTTTGACATAGTCTCATCTTCATTGCAGAAGAAACGAGCACAGTGTATTTATACACAGTAACTGTGTTCTGAGAGGGGAAATGTGGACAGTATTAAGTAGCATGAGGGGATGGATTGGTGAGGAAGGGGGAGCTTGCTGCTGCAGTTGGACCTGACGTGCCACGTAGCCTGCACACAGAGCCTCCTGACACCGTTACAGGCAGTGGCTGAAAATGTCACGCTCTGTTCATTCATTGTAAACTAGGTTTAGGTCTTTATCCTGTTGCCTCATCTATGATGGTATTTTCTCACCACAAAGTATAATTAAATCAATTATTAGTGAAGGTTAGATGAAACAAATGGTAGGTTTGAAACAATGGGAGGAAGCCTGTGCTCACTGAAGTTGACCTGCAGGGCTCCTCTGTTCAGCTTAAAAGCTCTCCTGTGGCGCAGTGAAAGTAACAGCCTGCTGTTGGTGTTGGTAGGTGGCTCTGAGAAGCTGCTGAGGGTGTGCCTGAACCTGCCGTACTTCCTGCGCTACATAAACCGCTTTCAGGACGCCGTGTCGGCCAACTCCTTCTTCATTATGCCGGCCACGGTGGCGGATGCCACTGCCGTGCGCAACGGGTAAGGGTTTGCGGCCGTCCTGCCCCGGGCTGCGCTCGGCACAGGAGAGCGTGAACGGACAACGGTGCCGGTCGCTGCACAGCTCCTGTGCGCTCGCGGGTGCAGAAAGCCCTTTTCTGAGCAGACAGGGCTTTTCTGAGCTTTACCCTGGCTTGTCACGTTGCTTTTCTGAGCTTTGCCATGGGTTGTCACGCCAGGTTTCATTCGCTGGTCATAGATGTGACCATGGCACTGGATACCCTGTCTCTGCCTGTACTGGAGCCCCTGACCCCCACACGTCTCCAAGATGTGACTGTTCTTGCTCTCAGCTGTCTCTATGCAGGTGAGTGGATTTTCTTTCTCATCTTCAGAGCTTTAAGGAGCTCTTGCTTGTTCTCCACCTTGTTACATGTATATTTAAGGGTCAACCCACACATAACCTTTATTTTCCATGGACTTGAAAGCTGACTGTATAGCGTGAGGCAATTTTAAAATTATTCTAGTGTCACTGATAATATATTCTATAAAGATTCTTGTCAACATTTGAGAGAACAGTTCAGTGACTCATCACCACCTTAGCCTGTAATGTCCAGAGCATGATATATTTTTGTGATGTTTATAACATTAACTTCATTAGTTCTACCCCCATATCTACCCCCATATCAGTTTCCCAGAGGTGGGAAACCATAATAATTCTGTGAGTGCTTTAAGTACTCCAGAACCCAAAGTGTCTACATGGTACAGGTAAAGCTTTAAAGAGGTGCAGCAATTGAGTATGAATATGACCTTAAAACCGGTGTTGATTTACATAGTGAAGCATTTGCTTGTTTAATTGTTATGTTGTGTTTTATTTATTGGACAAAACTTTATTCTTCTGGGTGTGCTTCAGAAAGATTTTTCTAATCTGTCAGTTGTAATACGGAGTATTCTCAACTCCCTTTTGTTCATGTGTCTGTTTATTACTGCTGGTTCTATTGTACTGAATAGGAACGCTTGGTCGCGAGTTCATTTCTTAATTAAAATGTTACCTTTGCTTATCTACCCTCAGGTGTGAGTGTGGCAACCTGCATGGCCATCCTGCACGTGGGTAGCACTCAACAGGTACGAACTGGGTCTACAAGTTCCAAAGAGGAAGATTATGAAAACGATGCTGCCACTATTGTACAGAAATGTGTAAGTAGATGAGAAGAATGTGTTTGTTGTTTTTCATTCTTGACAAGTGAAATACCTAGAATTTGTGTTTATTTGGATTACTGTACATCTCTGTCAATGCCAGGCCATAGGCTTGCTGATATATCGACAGTGTTGTTAACTATAGAGGGCAAAATAAATTCTTCTTTGAGACACCGGAGTTGTAAAAGTGTGTAGAATAGTTACTGCCCAGCAGAGTTCTTAAACATTTTTAAGTTTCAAGTTCTTAAGCTCTTAAAACAGATGTTTTTGATTTATTTGCAGCTTGAAATCTATGAAATGATTGGACAAGCCATCAGCAATTCACGCCGCGCAGGCGGTGAGGTAAGATTGCTTTCTTCAGAAAGCCTTTTCACAGTTTCTGTGCTGATGTATTTTGGCTGCTGAATTTATACATTTTTTTTTCTTCTCCTCTCTCCTTTTTCCCCCCATGGGATGATAGCATTATCAGAACTTCCAGCTGCTTGGGGCTTGGTGTTTGCTAAACAGCCTCTTCCTCATCTTGAACCTCAGCCCCACGGCCTTGGCTGATAAGGGAAAGGAGAAAGATCCGTTGGCAGCTTTACGTGTCAGAGACATTATTGCTCGCACTAAAGAGGGAGTTGGCTCTCCCAAACTAGGACCTGGGAAAGGGTATGTTGGTATCTCTGTGAGGAAATCATTTCCCGTGTTTGTAAGGAGGCACAGGAGACTCCTTATGAGTCTTCTTCAAGACTGTTTCAGAGTCTTGCTATTTTTTTTCTATGCATTTGTAATTCACATCTTGATTCTTTATTGCCCTATTCTTTTCTTTTTCAGTTTATCAAAGCAATTCCTTAATCTGCTTGCTCAACTTAGTGTTCTTTGAGATTACATTTTTTTTCTTTTATTTTTCTGTAGACATCAAGGGTTTGGTGTTCTGTCAGTGGTGCTAGCAAACCATGCCATCAAACTGCTATCATCACTCTTTCAGGATCTGCAAGTGGAGGCATTGCACAAGGTGTGTAGGTAGCATATATGTCCTTGTGAAATATCTCTTTCTATGCTGATATATACTTTACATTCTCTTTCGATGCTGTCATCCAGGGCTGGGAGAGTGATGGTCCACCAGCAGTGCTAGATATCATGGCACAGAGCACATCAATCCAGCGAATCCAGCGGCTCATAGATTCCGTACCACTCACTAATTTGTTGCTGACCTTGCTCTCTACTTCCTACAGAAAGGTAGGAACTGTCTTTCTGCTGCAGAAATTCGGGAGCTGAACCGCTCTGATGAAGTGTCAGGTGCAGGAAAAACTCTGTCATTGCAAACTACGAATATATTGCATGGAATCAAGCTGTCAGCTGGAGCCTCGCTCTTCTAGAAGACTGTAGATTTGAATAACGTCTTCTAAAAGTTTTTTTTGTAAACTCAGCAGTATTTGTGAATTTAGGGAGAGGATGAAAACGCTGCATTCAACAGGTGCTTTCATGTCAAAGCTGTGAATTGAAGTGTCGCTTCCAAAGCTTGTTCTCAACTATCCTGTATATTTGTGATACATGTTAAGAGGGAGGAGCCTTGATGAAATGTTAATAATCGAGCAGAATTTCACTAGAATAAAATCAAAACTGCATTAGGAAAATAGTCATATTTTCAAAACCACATCTTCGATATCCCTAAAATTTCCCTTGTTCTGTTGTTCTTTCAAGGCTTGTGTCCTGCAGCGTCAGAGGAAAGGCTCCATGAGCAGTGATGCAAGTGCCTCCACTGATTCCAATACGTACTACGAGGATGATTTTAGCAGCACTGAGGAGGACAGCAGCCAAGGTAATAGAGTTTACAGCGAGCAACTCAGCTCAGGATTTTATGCTTTCAGCCCTAGTGGAAACCTGGCTATTGGGCTTTTGCTTCCATGCACTGGAGTGAAATAGAGTGCAGAAAATGTGAAGCAGTTTGTCAGATCCATTTGGCAGCAGTAATGCTGAGCATCTTCTTTTATGTAAACTGGAGCCAGAGTCTCTGGGGTTTGGCAGTAATGCTCAGGAGGAGATTGGAAAGAATTTCCACTTGTAAATTCCTGCTGGATTTGCTGTAAAAGTGCTCAGCCTTGTGACTAGAAGGAAAAAATGAAGATTTAAGCAGCCTTAAGTCTGTTCACTGAAGCTCTTTGCCAGGCTACTGCTAAGCCGAGTAGTTTGTAGAAGGCCGTCGCTTACAATAACGTTGTTTTTCTTTTCCCTGCCTCCTGTGTTAGATGATGACAGCGAACCCATCCTCGGGCAGTGGTTTGAGGAGACGATCTCACCAAGCAAAGAGAAGGTGGCTCCCCCACCGCCACCTCCGCCACCACCCCTGGAGAGCTCCCCGCGAGTGAAGAGTCCCAACAAACAGACTGCTGGGGAGAATGGGAACATCCTGGCCAGCCGCAAGGACCCGGAATTGGTACGGGAGGAACTTCACAGCTGACGAAATAACGAGTATTTTGTAGCACCGTGTATTTGTCAGTGACTAGCTGTGCTGACAGATAACGGGATAAATGTGAGGTGTTTTAAGCACACTGGGATGGAGAACTGGTGACTGGATTCTTGCTTTTCTCTCAGGAGAAATATCCTAGTGTTTGTTATAGCCAAGGCAAGACAGTATCCATTTGGGTTATAGAGGGAACTGTAAATAAGATACTTGCTTTTAACAACTCCATTGGGTAAAGCTGAAAACTAATGCTGCAATTTAGAAGATAAGGGGCTTGCAGACTTTATAGGGAATTGTAAAAACAGCTCTGATAAAGAACACAGAGTGCAGGGAGCTGGATTGTAATGAGTAAAACTAATCTGTGGTCCCCTGCCGGGGTGTAGTGAGGGGCCTTGGTTTATTTTGCTGCTTTTGGGACAGTTTTGGTTTTGTTTAAACGCTTGCTTACACACCATCTGGTTTTGTTGCTTCTATAGTGCATTTCTCTCTCTCTTTTCAGTTTCTGAGCCTAGCTTCAAACATTTTGAACTTTATTACTTCTTCTATGCTGAACTCCAGGAATAACTTCATTCGCAACTACCTGAGTGTGTCTCTCTCGGAGCAGCACATGGCTACACTGGCAAGCATCATCAAGGAGGTGGATAAAGATGGGCTGAAGGGTGCGTGAACAGAACGTGTTTGCTAGTGAACATGTAGATGAGGATGTAGAGACATTTATTTTCTTTGGTCTACGTGAAAATTTTCATCACAGCAGTAGTAAATAGCTTGATCTCTGTGTCTTAGGCACGTCAGATGAGGAGTTTGCTGCTGCCCTCTATCACTTCAACCATTCTTTGGTGACCTCAGATCTTCAGTCCCCTGCCTTGCAGGTTAGTCTGTAATGGATGTATAAATACAACAAAGAACTGGTGTATATTAATGTGTCCGTATTTCTGCAGTCCTGCTTGGCTATCGCAACTGATACCGAAAGGCCTTGGAGTTTTTCAGGAGAGAATCAAATTAATCTCTTTGCTTTCATATGCTAACTTTGTAGCCTCTAGGTTTCTTTGCTAGGTCACATGCTGACCTGGCTTAACACATGAAGCAGGAGTTGTAAATCTGCTTACCAATCAGTGAATTCAATCCCTTCACCTTTTTGTTGGCTCACTTCTAGTGCATTTAAAATACTTTTTTTAAGCAGTTGGAATCTTACATTTCTGTAAGATTCAGTCTTACATTTCTGGTGCATCTGAAAAGAAACAGTCATTACCATGATCAGAAAAAGAGGTCTCCTTCCAAATCCTAAGAGAGAGGAGAAATACTGATATATTAACCCTTATAATCACTGAGAGTCCTACGGAGATCTCTCCTGTTTGTTGCCATCTTTGGATGGCAACAAACAAAAGCATCCTCTATACATTCAGAGGATGCTGTGCCCTTGGGCAGCAGGTAGGACTTGCCTCTCTGCAACAAGGCTCTTGTTTCCTTGCAGAACACCCTGCTTCAGCAGCTGGGAGTCGCTCCTTTCTCCGAAGGACCGTGGCCTCTTTACATCCATCCTCAGAGTTTATCGGTGCTATCTCGACTTCTCCTTATTTGGCAGCATAAAGCCAGTGCACAGGGAGATCCCGATGTCCCAGAGTGCCTTAAAGTTTGGGAAAGGTGAGAGATTTTTATGTCAAGCTGAAAGTCAGGCCTCTCTCCTCTCTCTAATGTTCTATTAAATGACAATTCTCCCGGACCAGCTTAACATATTGGATGTGTCTTCTCTGAGCAACGCTCAGAGGAGCTCAGCATTATTCTGGAATTACTGCTGGAATTATTTTCCTGCTGTGCAGGAAGTGAAATCGGTCACTGGAATTAGGATTTAGGTGGATGGAAGCTGGAAAAACCACAGCAGTGCTGGTTTTAAAAAGGAAAAGTGAATGTCTTATTTCAGCATGTTTCTGGTGATGATCCCAAGCCTTTTCCTGCTCTTGAGAGCCTCAAGAACGGTTTTGCTGACTTACAGTGGGGAATTATTTGTGACATTGCCTGTGTTAGTTGGAAGTATAAGCAGAAAATAATCATGTTTCTTGAATGCGTAGTTGAAGCAGCTTTAAGAAGGGGCCTAAACAAGGAGAAATGTGTGTAATTCCTTCCTTATCACCAGGTTTGTGGGCACGCTGAAGCAGAATGCCCTGCAGGGGACTCTTCCCGGTGACACAGAAGACCTGAATGTTGAACATCTCCAGCTGCTGCTGCTGATTTTTCACAATTTCTCGGAGCGGGGGCGCAGGTCCATCCTGACGCTCTGTATCCAGACAATCATGGAGCTCACAGTGAACATGGATACGCAGCTCTGTTACGTGCCACTTATTGTGGCTCGTCTGCTCCTGGTGTTTGACTACCTGCTCCATCAGTATTCCAAGGCCCCTATGTATCTGTTTGAACAGGTAAGATTTTGTGGTCACGTTTTGGGTATTTATTTATTGGGTATTTATTTTATCTGGATCAGGTAATCATTTGGTGTGATGTGGTCTCTTCAGGGCCTTTGAAAGTAACTCAGTTTTGATTTTGTTAACTACCTTTGCAATAGTAAAGAGTGAATAATTGGAGCTGCTAATTCCCTGGCAGCAGATCCAGATCTAGCATAAATTCGTGATATAACTGCTGTCCTAATGAACACAAAGAAGGGACAACGGGCAAATTGAAAGTCCACTTTATCTTCCAAAGCACGAGTATTTGGGATGTTCAGGCACTATTTCATGAATACCTTCTGCACAGTCGTCTAGCTTTAGCTTTTCCCTGGTGGATTTTTTAGGCACCGTTCTCATCAGTGAATTGCTACTGTTTGGCTTTTTCAGGTGTTGGAATCACAGCCGTTGATTTAAGCTGCTTATCCCAAAATAAAAGCAGCCAGGTTTGGTCCAGGGCTTCCCTCCGAACCTTGGAAAGTTTTTGCATTTTAATGGTGGCGTGGTTTGGAACTTACAGGGTTCTGTTCCCTGCCATTAGTAATGAGGATGCCCTGGTTTTGTTGTTTTGTTTTGCCTTTTTTTTTCCCCCTCATTTGGTTTGTTTTTTTTTTGCTGTTTCTCACTTAGGTGCAATATAATTTGCTGACGCCGCCCATTGGCTGGGTGAGTGGATCCCAGGAGAGCAGCAGACGCAGCCCTGTCCCACTCTATCATGGATTTAAAGAAGTGGAAGAAAACTGGACCAAACACTGCTCAGCAGGTCAGCGGGGAGGGAAGTTAGAGACCTGTATAAGTCTTAAAATCCAAAAGAATTTGGGGAAATGGAGGAGAGAAGATAAAATCCGTCACTTTGAACGTGATTTTCTTCTCTTCCAGATGCAGTTCCACAGCCCAGGTTCTACTGCATCCTGTCTCTAGAAGCTTCTGAAGACGATCTGAACCGTCTGGATAGCTCGGTACTGGAATTCCGTCCTTCCTTCCTGCCTTGGTAGCTTATTTGAGAGAAATCAAGGCTGCCTGGGTTGTAGTGAAATAAAGATGAGCTGCATCGGCCCTCTCCCTGGACAGTGAAGCAGGAGGGACTGTCTCAAATGCTCCCCACTGCAGTTTGCCTGTTGATGGTCCTGACTTGGCCTCTCTTGCAGGTTTGCGAGGTCCTTTTTGCCCGCACTGTGAAGTACGATGAGCTTTACGCAGCGCTGACCTCCCTCCTGGCAGCCGGGTCGCAGTTCGATACGCTCAGGAGGAAAGAGAACAAAAGTGTCACTGCGCTGGTGAGGCTCCGTGTGCTGCTGGCATGTCTGCGTGGAGAAAAAAGGTCTTTTTGTATAAAAACTAAGCTAGACGGTGGTTGGAGGAATGAAGAAATTAAAATCTTATGGCTAATGGTAATGCTCTGGCAGTAGTAAGTTCTCTGTGAGTTTTTAAATTCACAACATGATTTGGACTTGCTGTATGTCCCTGAGAATTTCAGGAAGTTTGAAATATGAGGCTGACGCAAAATATTTTTGTGTAATTTTATTTTTCCTCAATTGTCTTTAGTCAGGTGGGATAGTTCTGCTGAATCTGCCCTTTTGAAAATTAAATTTGGTGCAGAATGTGTCAGAAACTCAGTCCAGCATTTGTCATCTGATTTGGCACGTCCATGGAAGTCTGAGGATCCTTGATGGACAGTATTACAGTGGCTGTAACAACTGCAGTAGCTGTTTTTCTCTACTAATCTGTCCAGCTGTGCTTCCTTCCAGGAGGCCTGTGCCCTTCAGTACTACTTCTTGATCCTGTGGCGGATCCTGGGGATTTTGCCTCCATCCAAAAGCTACATGAATCAGTTGGCCACGAACACGCCAGAGATGAGTGAATGTGACATTCTGCACACACTGCGCTGGTCCTCCCGCCTGCGCATCGCCTCTTACGTGGCGTGGATCAAGGTACAGCCTTGTCTTTACAGGGGTGTTTTGCAATGTTGGGATTGCAAATCTGGTATTTACACGGACTGCGTATGGGAACTGTGAGGGTTTGCTGACAAGAAATGGCCTCTTGGGGCTGCATTTTCTAAAACATTGCAGCTTGGTGGTTGCTAGAGTGGTTGATTGCGTAGTTCTTTAATTGTAGAGCTCTTCTAAATTGATGAGTGGTTTGAATCTTTTTCCCCATCTCTAGGATCACCTTACCAAGCAGGGCATGAAGGCAGAACATGCTGCATCTCTCACTGAACTGGCCTCGGGCAAGTGCAGCTCAGTGAAGTATGATGTGGAAATAGCGGAGGAGTATTTTGCTCGGCAGGTAGGCTGGTGTGAGTGCTGCTGTATGGAGCTCCTTTTTTTGTGCTATGATTGGCACTTACAGTTCCATCACTTTATATTTTAAGATATCTTCTTTCTGTGGCGTGGACTGCACTACTATTCTTCAGCTGCATGAAGTGCCCAGTTTACAGTCCATTTACACCCTCGATGCTGCCATTTCCAAGATCCAGGTGTCTCTAGATGAGCACTTTTCCAAGCTAGCTGCAGAAACCGATCCGCATAAGTCTTCAGAAATAACCAAGAACCTCTTGCCTGCTACATTGCAGCTTATTGACACTTATGCTACATTTACCAGGTATTGCCCTTAGCACCTCTGGTGGGCTTCCTTCTGTGCATAGTGTTTCACGTTTTGTTTCAGTTTCTTAGAGGTGGTTGCCTTATTTACAGTCCAGTGTGTTTGTTGTAACTCATGTCCTCTAGAATATGGAATATTAAAAAAAAAAAAGAGCAGCTTCTCAAGCACATATGTGTAGTTGATATTTCTCAGCAATCTACTTGTCTGATTTTGAGGACTTTTGCTGTAAGAATTATCACTCCGTGGCAAAAATCATTGGCAAAATGAGGAGAAAAGCTGTTTTTCTGCAAACTTGTGAGAGAGTGTGAGGTCTTCTAAACTCTCTTTGGCTCTAATGCAGAAAAACACAAAAGTAAATCTTTTTTTTTTTTTTGGACAGCCATTCCTGGCAAGTTGCTTAGAGGAGATAAAAGCCCTTAGTGCTCTCCCATGAGGCATGGGGCAGAACCTCTGAAGTTTACTCTCCGATTTGTCCCCGCGTCATCCCGCCGGGTTTGAAATGCTGAAGTCTTTCATGCTGAATGCTTTTCATCCTGAATGCAGGTCTTACTTGCTGCGGAGCCTCTCTGAAGAGGGCTCCCCTGAGCACAAACCCTCTGAAGAGAAGCTGCGAGGCTACGCTGCCGTGCTGGCAATCGGCTCCAGCCGCTGCAAGGCAAATACCCTAGGTGAGAGCAGTGCAGATGTCCTTTTGTGCGTGGCTGGAGCTTTCTGCAGTCTCGCCAACGTTGACTTCAAAACCCTTCACTGCCTGATGCCTTCCCTTTCTCAACCCCTTGCTTCAAATCAGTGTGTCACCCTGTTAGCAGCCGACTGGGTATCTTTTCCTTTTAGCGTGGTAGCAGCTGAAAAAGAGGAGACTTTGAAAGAATAACTATCTTGTGGGATTATCTGTCTTCTAAAAGCTTTTTAGAGCCATGTCAGCGCTCCAGCAGCGAAGCGCGGCGTAGTATGGAGAGTTCTGAAATGCTCACATCCCCGAGACTGTTGTGAATTAATACTTTTTTCTTGCTTACTCTTGCCCTCTTAAGGCCAAAGAAGCTGCAAAGCTCACACAAACTTTAGTGGTAATCTTGACTTGTAGAAAAGCATGAAACGGGCCTTCAGCAGAAGTAGAGTTCAGACTTAACTACTTCTTTCTGATCAAGATATTTATGACTAGTTCAAGTCGGGATCTAGTTTTAAACAGTGTCTTAGCAGCAGTCCAGTTTTTCCCAGTATCCCTGAACCCTCTCAATGACAATGTGTTGACTGCAGGCCCAACGCTCGTTCAGAATTTGCCGTCAGCCGTACAGACTTTATGCGAGTCGTGGACCAACATTCACACAAACGAGTTTCCCAACATTGGCTCGTGGGTGAGTGCCATCCTGTGGAGAAATCCACTATAATCCTAACTCCCCAAGTGCCCGTGGGTGCGGGGCTAATGCGCTCTTCGGTTTAAAGATAACGACTTGTGTTTGCTTGTTTTTCCTGCTTTTCCATGTCTGTTCGTAGCGCAACGCCTTTGCCAACGACACGATCCCCGCAGAGAGCTACATCGGCGCGGTGCAGGCGGCGCACCTCGGCACGCTGTGCAGCCAGAGCCTGCCTCTCGCTGCCTCCCTGAAACACACCCTCCTCTCCCTCGTCAGGCTCACCGGGGACCTCATCGTGTAAGAGGCTGCTTTTGGGTGTTCTTCCTTGTTAACGGTCTTCTCTGGTGAATTCCTCTTTTCCTCTGACCCTCTTGATAGAGCACTGCCTGAACCGGGATGTGTGTTTTGAATGAAGCCTTTAATTGAGATATTTTCAGTGTGAAGTTCTAATTTCAAAAATAAATGAAAAATGGCCATGCAGTCTCTATCAGATACCACCATCCTGAGAGAAACCTGTAGTACCTCCTGTTGAAGCCGGATGCAAAAAACGTGGAATATCAACTGCAACAATGCCAATCTAACTAATTAATTTGTATTTTATTACTGCTCAGCTGTGTGATATTTTCGAAGCATAGGGAAGAAGTGAAATGAAAGCATGAAAGATTTTTATTTATGTATTTATTTTCCCAGTGGCTTATTTTAAGATATTTTTAAATAAGTGGATACTGACAACACAGACATACCTGAAAGCCATAAGACTAGGATAGTTTGCTTAGGAAAATGGTGAAACTGTATATGTACAAAAAAAAAAAAAGCAAGATCTTGGGAATGAGAACTGTTTTACTCAGGGAAAAATCGTTGACAATATATTTATCACTGCTTTTTGAAAAGGGCTTTTAATTTAGGCTTCTGTCCAGACTTGTCCTACTGGTGTGATTTTTGATTCATTTGGTAGTAAAACTTCTTTGCTGTGTGCTGTAGATGTTTATCGTTGGTTGTTCTTTGGTGTGTTTTCAAGGTGGTCGGATGATTTGAACCCACCACAGGTGATTCATTCTCTGCTGCCCCTTCTTCTGGAGAGCAGCACAGAGAGCGTGGCGGAGATAAGCAGCAACTCCCTAGAAAGGATCTTGGGCCCTGCGGAATCCGATGAATTCCTCGCACGTGTTTATGAAAAACTGATCACAGGCTGCTATAACATCCTGGCCAGTCACTCGGATCCCAACAGGTAGTAAGTAGTCCTCTTTCAACAAAGCTGCTTGCAGAGAATTTCTACAATATTTTAAAATAACAGTATAGTTTCTAAAGCAGCAGAACAGCATGAGCAAGCTGTCAAAACCAGCTTATCTTCATCTGTTGAAGACTACTGTGCTTGCTGAGCTGAGCCTTGATTTAGGCAACGTGGGTTTTAGGCATTTGCTGTAACTCTGACTCCCGCGATAGATCAGGGTACTTTTGATTTAAGCAAATAGAAAATTATGGAAATAAAGTGCAAAATCAGAGCTGGAGATGTCAGCCTCACTTGCCTTTTTCTCTCTTTTGCCCTTACCTGGAGGCCTAATCCTTGCTGTATAATGGCAAGCTAGACATTTGCTTCCCTCCCCTGACTTGCTGTATGTATAGAGAGAATAAGCTTAATGCGCAGGCGTTGATTCCACTGATCCAGACCCTAAAACTGTTAGGCCTGATGATACTGCGTCTTGTTAACACTGATCCCCTCTGCATAGAAGGTTTTCAGAGGGAGATCTACCGTGCCTTGTGGTAGACAATGTAAATGGAATTGGATTTTGTTTGTGGGTGCATTGTGGAGAACGGATGAACAGAGGAAGGAACAGAGGAGAGCTAAAAGAGACTTAAAGTGTAAAAAGAGCCACCAGTTAGAGGAATTTGTGATGCAATGTGTCTGAGAGGTCTAGGTTATTAGAGGATTCTGACTGTAACTTTCCTACAGCATCATCTGCTGCTCTTTTTCTGACCATTTGGTGGTTTTGTTGGTATTTGTATCATGGTAGTTGATTAGTTCTTTGGCTCCTCCATTGTGGAAGAAGAATCGCTTTCAGCTACCAGAGGGTTTATTTAGAATTGCGTTAGCAAAATATTGGTCACTTCTTGACTCTCAGAATTGTTGAAACTGTTGGAATTTTGCTTATATACTCTTAGTTAATATGCATCTTTGATCCTCAGTGGCCTGGATGAGACCATCTTGGAGGAATGTTTGCAGCATCTGGAGAAACAGCTGGAGAGCAGCCAGGCCCGAAAAGCCATGGAGGAATTCTTTTCAGAAAGGTAAGGCCATCCAGCAAATTGTAGGCCAAGGACTTTATTTCTCTGCTTTTCTCTTAGCTTTCATCCTTGACACTTAGATTAAAGCCTTGGTGCAGAAAAATGCAGAGCTCTGTAAGGGCAGGGCACTTGACAAGCAGCAGAGGCTAGTGAAAATTTTTTCCTCCTTCCAACAGTGGAGAATTGGTCCAGATCATGATGGCGACAGCCAACGAGAACCTGTCAGCCAAGTTTTGTAACAGGGTGCTGAAATTCTTCACCAAGCTCTTCCAGCTAAGTAAGTGCTTGCACTCGCTGTCTGCATCGTTCCTCTGTGTGCCCGGTGCTGGTCTTGTGCTAGAGAGATTGCAATGGGAAGGTGCTAGAGAGAGGAGCTCTGAAAGGAAGTGACAGCTTTGCGCTTTTTCCTGTTGTGGTCATGTTTTGCTCTTTTCTTTCTCTCTCCTACTCAGCTGCGCTTGAATGTTTTTGTCCATGCGGTTTAGGTCTGGGGAGAAGAGCGATGGAATTTTTGTGCTCATGATGCCAGTGAGGAAATAATTCCTTATGCGTTAGGCTCTTCATAGCTGATGACTTATCACAGCAAAGGCAAGGGTCTGAGAGAAGCTAGCAAAGGCCCAACATTTAGGATGATTTCCGGTCAGCTCTTAGCTTCATACTCTTGTGTGTGAACGTGTGGAGTCTATTCTGTTTTGCACTGGGTACAAGTCCAAATGGAGCATTTTGTATCTGAGATCAGGAACAGAGGGAAAAACGTTTTCAAAAACATCCTATGACAATGTTGCTGTCGCTCACTGGTGATTTTTCCTTAGCTGAGAAGAGTCCCAACCCCAGCCTGCTGCGCCTCTGCGGCTCTTTGGCCCAGCTGGCTTGTGTGGAACCCGTGCGTCTGCAGGCCTGGCTGACTCGGATGACCATGTCACCACCCAAAGACTCGGATCAACTGGACGTCGTTCAAGAGAACAGGCAACTGCTGCAGCTCTTGACGACTTACATTGTTCGGGAAAACAGGTACAAAGCACAGTCTTTGTCACTGATGCACTTTAATTAGTTTTGCTCTGTAGCTATGCCAATTAATTATGAGTTGCCTTCCAGTAGAATAACCACAGTGAGGCTGTTTGAAGCCCCTCTCGCAGCGTAGGGTTTAGTTTTACTTCAGCAGGCGACGCGTCTGCAACTTTCTTCTTCTTTTTGATCAGCCAAGTTGGAGAGGGCGTGTGCACCGTGCTGCTGAGCACTCTCATCCCGATGGCAACGGAAATGCTGGCCAACGGCGACGGGGCCGGCTTTCCCGAACTCATGGTTGTGATGGCCACCTTGGCCAGCGCGGGACAAGGGGCAGGACATCTCCAGCTTCACGGGGCTGCTGTGGACTGGCTGGGCAGATGGTAAGAGCAAACTCGTTGTCACTCTTTAAGTAATTACTGCATTGATGCTTCCCTGTTGCTGATGGAAAACAAACTAAATACTCGAAGCTATTCGCAGTTTATATCGAGTTTATACTTCCCAAAGACTGCTAGTAGTTAGAACTACTTTTTTCTCTCCTGTTGCAGCAAGAAATACCTGTCTCAAAAGAACGTGATAGAAAAAATGAATGCCAACGTCATGCAGGGCAAGGTGAGACTTGTGTCTGTTGCTCAGTTTGTGGGAACACAGCCCGTGCCTGAGGTTTATCAGCTGGCCTGCTCTGCTTGCGTGGTGGGAACTGAAATGGATGTGACTGTGTGTGCAGGTGCTCGTTAGGGTTCCCTGCCTTTTACTAGCTCTCATGGGCTGGTGATGTGTCAGTGTTGATTGACTGTTTGCTTACAGCACGTTACCATCCTGGAGTGCACGTGCCATATTGTCTCTTACCTGGCCGACGTCACCAACGCGCTGAGCCAGAGCAGTGGCCAAGGACCAAGTCACCTTTCCGTTGATGGGGAAGAACGAGCTATTGAGGTGGATTCAGACTGGGTGGAAGAGTTGGCTGTGGAGGAGGAAGACTCTCAAGCTGAAGATTCAGTAAGTGATAGTTAATGATTAATGCAACAAATGAGATGGGAATTTCTGTTGCAGCTTCCCAAACAGAGTGGCTGAGGTTATAAATTAAGATATTTTTGTCTATTCCTTATGTGAGGTTGAGTGAAGAGCCTCAGTTGTCAGATTTGGAAGGGAATATCCATTGTTCTCGCATGAATCTTTTGCTCTTGTAATGTCCAGAAAAGGCAAAAATTTTTCTTAAAACAAGAAAAGAAGAATAACGCAGAATAAGATGTCTGTTTTTACCTACTTATCTAATATATTATCTAATCTTATCAAACCCAATATCAATTATTTTGTTATTTTATCTACTTGTTATCAATGATCAATTATTAGGTTTTACATTGATGAGCAACTTTGAGTAAGCTTTCCACTACTGGGTGAAAAGCAAGGTGTTATTAACTCATTCTGCAAAATTTGTCACTTGAAAATAATGTGGTGGTTTTTTTTTTTTTTGGTTTTTTTTTTTTTTTTTTTTTTTTTTTTTTTTCCTTTATATTGATTCATTCTTTCCAGTTACTGTAAAATGAGACCGCATCCTCTCTCGAGCTTTGATTCCAGCTGCCTCCTTTGGTGTAGGTGGTGCTAAAACTCACATTCAGTAGAAGAGAAACCCACTCTGTACCATGTACCTTTACTGTGTCCATGCAATTGTAATGCCAAACTAAAACATCCTTCTTCTCTTGTAGGATGAAGATTCTCTTTGCAATAAGCTCTGTACCTTCACCATCACTCAGAAGGAATTTATGAACCAACATTGGTAAGAATCTTTCAAGACTTCCTGGTCAGAATTGCAGCCTGATATTTCTGGCCATTGAAGAGGAGAGAAATGAAATCTGTAGACTTCATAGAGAGAAACTGTAATTTTTAACTCGTATGGTTTATTTTGTGCAGGTATCATTGTCACACTTGCAAGATGGTTGATGGGGTTGGTGTTTGCACGGTTTGTGCTAAAGTTTGTCACAAGGATCATGAAATTTCTTATGCCAAATACGGATCGTTCTTCTGTGACTGTGGAGCCAAGGAGGATGGCAGTTGCCTGGTAAACTGTCTTTTTGTCAAAATTCAAGTAGTTTGGCCCCCCAAAAGTGATTTCATGTGTTTTTTTTTAAGGACATCTGAGGACTTTTTTGTTCTGCAGGACTTTTATGTCACGATACAAATGCATGAGAGTACTGAAACTTGAAGGCCCTGGCTTTAGAATGAACTTCTCCTCCTCCTCCTAATTTACAGCTTGTCTAGTGACTTTTCACCAAATAATAAATGCATTGACAAGTCTCTCTGCAGATGGCAAATGGGAATCTACCTACTGTATCCAGAATTAACAAGATGGCTTAAGCTGTCCAGCTGTCAGATACCAGCTCTCCCCATGCTTTCCACTAGCAGCAACTAAGTTGATGTCCAATATGAGATGGCTTTTCTAAGAGTGGGTGGAGAGTGATGTGCAGGATAGAGGATGGTTGTTCTTGCTTCATTGCAATTGCATTCTACAAGAACTGCATTTTGCTTTTCAAAACTACGTTATTACTGCTATTACAATCTGTATTTTGTCAATGGTTAAAAAATGAGTCCGTGTAGGGTTTTCAGGATTGCTGTTTCCCTCTCAGGCTTTGGTGAAGAGGACGCCCAGCAGCGGTATGAGCTCCACCATGAAAGAATCTGCCTTCCAGAGCGAGCCCAGGGTGCCCGAGAGCGTCATTCGACATTCAAGCACGTCTCCTGCAGAGAAAGCCAAGGTCACCATCAGTGAGGGGAAGGGCTCTGATGAAGAAAAGCCCAAGAAGAGCAGCCTGTGCAGAAACGTTGAGGGCTGCCGGGAGGAACTGCAGTCCCAGGTATGATTATCTTCTAGCTGGGAAGGTCATCTGTGGTAAGGGTTAGTTTTGATTTCTGTAACGAGTACTATCAGTAGCAGGTTAGCTCAGTGAGGGTTGCATTTTAAGCACACTTTGTTGGTTATAAGCTAAGTTAACATTTTTTTCTGTGTGCTTTTCATTGTGCCAGTGGAGATCATAAATTTTGAAGAATAACTGAAACGCAGCTCTTGTGGAGATTCCCAGCAGGACTGTTTTGTGACGACTTGCCGTGTCTGTTTCTCGTAGGCCAACTTCTCATTTGCTCCCTTGGTGCTGGAGATGCTGAATTTCTTGATGGATGCCATTCAGATCAACTTCCAGCAAGCTTCAGCCATGGGCAGCAGCAGTCGTGCGCAGCAAGCTCTCAACGAGCTGCACACTTTGGACAAGACAGTCGAAATGACCGATCAGCTAATGGTAGGACACTAAAGCTGTTAAGAATATTCAAAGTGTAGAGATTACCCAAGCAGAACAGTTTCAGTCTTGAACTTTTCTGTGTTCTTTATTGCTCGTGACTCAGGTGCCGACGCTTGGCTCTCAAGAAGGTGCTTTTGAGAATGTCCGCATGAACTACAGCGGTGACCAGGGCCAGACCATCCGGCAGCTGATCAGCGCCCACGTGCTGCGGCGGGTGGCCATGTGCGTGCTGTCCTCCCCGCACGGCCGGCGCCAGCACCTGGCTGTGAGCCACGAGAAGGGCAAGGTGGGTGCTCAGAAGACGGGTGCCTCCAGCTCTGCGGAGGAGGTTGGGTTGTAAAGAATGAAAGCCTTAAAACACTAAACGACAATGATGATGATGATTCGGGCTCCCTGTTGTCATTGTGGGTCTTCTGTAAAGTGTTAGAGAACTGAGGAAAAGCTCTTCAGAGAAAGTGTTCTTGCAGCATTCAGTGAAAACCCGACGACGGGGGGAATATAACCATAGAATGGAAGTTGCAGTGTGATTTCCCCTCACCCCGATGTTGAAGTTGGATAACTTAAGTTTGATTCATTTTGTAGATTACAGTCCTCCAGCTTTCTGCATTGCTGAAACAAGCAGACTCCAGCAAAAGAAAATTGACCCTTACTCGCCTGGCATCTGCCCCAGTTCCATTTACTGTCCTGAGCCTGACTGGAAACCCCTGCAAGGAAGACTACCTGGCCGTGTGTGGACTAAAAGTAAGCATGTGATGAGCCTTTTTCTAGGCAGTTGGAGCTATCATCTCCAGCCAGAATGTCTGGCTTTGCTCTGAGGAGTTGAGAATTAAAAGCTCCCAAGATCCGTCACTAATTTTAGCTGCAAAATCACTTTCATTAGGCACTACTTCATTTACTTTATGTATGAATAATTGGATAAATTGGACACTGCCCCACTTAAAGTATTTCTTCTGTGTAGCCCAATTTTACGTTAAGCAGGGAGTTGAGATTTAGCTGTGTGAAACTTAAAATGTATTAGAACTAGTCTGCAACAACTCTGGTGTTTGGCAGCCAGGACACTTCTGTATATTCTCTAAAACTCAGATTCATCCTTTACAGTTCAGTTTGTGTAGTCTGTTCTTCAGCTGAGAAACAGTTGGGCTTGGACGTATCTAACGTAGTGTGTAGGAAGGTAGGAGTCTAGATTCCTCCTGCATGGATCACTGGAGCTCATGGGAATGCTGCCTTTTCTCTCTCCTCTTGGCTTAGAAAATGTTTCTGCTATTTGACTCGTGCTTTTCGTTGCTCTAGGACTGCCACGTGTTAACCTTCAGCAGCTCTGGGTCGGTCTCTGATCACTTGGTGCTTCACCCCCAACTGGCCACTGGAAATTTCATCATTAAAGCTGTGTGGCTGCCAGGATCTCAAACGGAGCTTGCTATTGTCACTGCAGACTTTGTGAAGGTACAGTTAGCCCTAAGCCATCGGTGATACTTCGTTGTCTTGTTTCAAACATCAGAGCCTGGGTCTCGACGCTGAGTTGCCTGTGGGAGAATATTACAGTGTTCTTAGAAATGAATTTGAAATATATTACAAATGTACTGCATTTTTAAAGAAATTTTTCGTAACATCTAGTAGACATTTCCTTGTCTCAGCCTGTGTCTCCTTGCATCATCAAAAAGGGCAGTTCTCTTGCTTTTAACACTTAACTTTTCCTGCTTCTCTCCACAGATTTATGATCTTTCTGTAGATGCCTTGAGCCCAACATTCTATTTCCTGCTGCCAAGCTCCAAAATCAGGGATGTCACATTTCTCTTCAACGAAGAGGGGAAGAACATCATAGTGATCATGTCCTCTGCTGGGTACATATACACCCAGCTCATGGAGGAAGCGAGCAGTGCCCAGCACGGCCCCTTCTACGTCACCAACGTGCTTGAAGTGAACCATGAAGACCTCAAGGTAATGGTGATTTCCCTTCCTTATGATAGGAGCTGCAGTGATTTTCTCTTTCATATACATCTGAGAGTCGAAAGCAGAAATTTTCTCTTTTTTTCCCCCCTTCTTTTTTTTTTTTTTTTTTTTCTAGTCTAGATCAGCTTGGTTGCTGTTCCTCTAAAGAGAGAAAATATCCTTGCAGGGAAAGGGGGTGGGGGTGAAAATTAAACCCCTTGATCCTTTCATCTAGAAAACGGATCGTGTTTTCCATGCTTGGGTCTGAAGTTCCACCCAGCAGGGTCTCGCAGCAGGGAGATGGTTTCAGAGCGGGGCTCTCTGCCACGCGAGGCGCTCCAGAGGGGCAGCAAGCAGAAGGGATGAGGTTATCAGCCGAGGCTGCAGCGATGCTGGGAGCTGCTCTTTCAACTGGGCAGCAGCTCTGCACTGCTCTTGGTGCACACGAGGCGTGCAGGGGCCTTTTGAAATCTGCCCACGTTTTACACGGTGCTTTTCCTTCAGAAGGCTCCAAAACAGGGAGATAGATGAGAGGGCCTGCAGGAAAGCTCTTTTATGAGCCGAGAACGTGGGGAGGGCTCCGTGTGGGATTGTCGGGCGCCGTTTGAGCGTGCGGGCACCGCGGCTGAGCACGCTTCCCGCAGCCCGCGGGGACGCGCAGGATCCTGCTGCAGAGCCTTTGAAGTGTCTGATGGACAAGTTCACCAAGGCACTCGGCTTAGAAAATTGTCATTTAGGGCTGGGTTTAGGGTGGCGGGGGGAGCTGGGGAGTGGGGAAGAGGCTTTGGAAATAATTCTGTCAGCTGAGGAATTGAAATGCCCGCCTGCTCGGGAGCTTTTTGCAAGATGTGTGCTTAATGCCCTTGCCTTTCCCTGATCCTGCAGGACAGCAATGGCCAGGTGGCAGGAGGAGGCGTGTCCGTGTATTACTCCCATGTCCTGCAGATGTTGTTCTTCAGTTACTGCCAAGGCAAGTCCTTTGCAGCCACCGTCAGCCGAGCCAGTCTGGAGGTGCAGCGGCTGTTCCCCATCAACATAAAGAGGTGAGACTCACCTGGAAGGCTCCCCCAGTTCATTTCATACAAATTATTCCTCGCAAGCTCTGGCCACGAGGAGCTGAGTTATTGTGTGAAATTCCTGTTTTCAGACGATGATCTCATGTTGTTCTCTGCCGTTTCTGCCCTAATTTCAAAACGGTTTGAAACCAAGGCTGGCTGTGTGGGCAGCGGGGCATGAATGCATTTCTTCTGCTCTCTGGGATCTCACAGCAGAGAGGTGGCTTCAGAGCAGCCTTGCTGCTCCGTGCGGAGCTGCTGCTGGTGCAGCAGCTGGAACTGATGGGATTAGCCGCCCGCATGGGGGATGCAGATCAGGAAGCCTTTGTTTCCTTGCGGCACCAGAACTGCAGTGGACCTTGTGCATATTAAGGCTCATCTTCAGCCTTCCCTGAGCGGGGACCTATCTCTTATGCTACAAAAATGTCAAGAAAAAAGCTCTTCTGTCATCTGCTCTGAAAACCAGAGTTGGCTGCTTAGGCCACTGACAGCCTACTGCAGTCTCGCTAGCTTAAGACAAAGCTGCTGTCTTCAATATTAGTAAAAGTGTCAGGTTCCGGGAACTCCCTTGCTCCTGGTCGGGTTTGGTCTAATCTCTTTTGCAGCTTTTTGTTTCAAGGAGCAGAATCACGGAGGTTCCCCCTTGGTGTCTTGCAGTTCAAACGGTGGCAGCAAGACTTCCCCGGCACTGTGCCAGTGGTCCGAGGTGATGAACCACCCCGGGCTGGTGTGCTGCGTCCAGCAGACCACGGGCGTCCCGCTCGTGGTGATGGTCAAGCCGGATACCTTCCTCATCCAGGAGATCAAGACGTTGCCAGCCAAAGCGAAGGTCAGTCGTGGCTCCCAGCATTTTGGGCCCTTCAGATGTGCGCTCTTGGATTTCTTTGCAGTTCGTTTTTCTTAATGCAAGCTCTTGTCATGGTGCCCTCAAGAAGATGCCCACTTGTGACGGCTTTTACCTGCTGTTGGGAACAGCTGTTTTGTTTTGCAATCTGTTTGACTATCCATATTATTAAAGCATTCAAAATGTATTTTTACCTCTTGCCTCCAAACAGTTCCATTTTGCTCTAGTTATTATCATCGTCAAGCTTCTCAGCCTTAATGTTTGTGACCTCTTTCAAGGAAAGAGTTTATGGCTGCAAGGTGTTGCCAGGTCCTTCCCTTGACTTCCATGGGCTCCCTTTCCAGATTCAGGACATGGTGGCTATCCGGCACACAGCCTGCAACGAGCAGCAGAGGACTACGATGATCCTGCTGTGCGAGGACGGCAGTCTGCGCATCTACATGGCCAACGTGGAAAACACTTCCTACTGGCTCCAGCCCTCGCTCCAGCCCAGCAGTGTCATCAGCATCATGAAGCCCGTCCGCAAGCGCAAGGCAGCTGCCATTAGTAAGGCCTTTCTTCTCGTGTGTGTCTTGGTCAGGGTGCTAGTGGCAAATCCAGGTGTGAAAATTGCTCTTCGTCCTCTAGAAACTTCACACCTGCCCTTCTGACAATTGCTAGGTAGCCTCAGGACCGACAGTCATGGTGGAACGTGTTTATAGGCATATATAATAAATAAATAACTGGCAGCCATGGGCATTTCCAAAGGAAGTGAGCTCAATCTACAGCTTTTGTACCTTAGCTTCACCTTTTAATATTGCTTGTAAAGAGATTGTCTCTCTCTTTTCTTTTAGCAACTCGTACATCCAGTCAAGTAAACTTCCCTATTGACTTCTTTGAGCACAACCAGCAGCTCACGGACGTGGAGTTTGGGGGCAACGACCTGCTGCAGGTTTACAATGCTCAGCAGATAAAGCACCGGCTCAATTCCACGGGCATGTATGTGGCCAACACCAAGGTAAGTGAGATGGCTTGGGGACCCTCTTAGGCTGCTGGGTGACATTACTGGCAAGGTTGAGGGTGTGTCTTTGCTCAGAAGGCTGCATTGTTTTACAAACAGAATTGTTTTTTTGCACAGTCCTGTGCAAAAGCAGTAATGCTGTTAAATAAACACAGGAGGCACCTAGGTACAGATTTCCATTGTATGCTCAAACACAGACATCTGAGCAGTCAGCTCAGCATGCAAATCACAGCCGGGCTTCTGCTTTCAAGGATTAATCCTCTACTATGGGGAGGCTCTATAGAGCAAACAGTGTGTCTGCTTTCACGCGCAGGACCTCCAACAACCAGGCGTTTCCTTCTAAAAATAGCACCATAGAGCGGGTATTTTAATTCTCCGTGCCATGGTGCAAAATAGCCTTGCAGGGAGATGCTGTCATATAAGTTTGTGCCTCGCAGTGTTTTTTGCCTTGCCCTGTGTGAGCTGTGCTTCGTCTCCCGCAGCCTGGGGGTTTCACCGTCGAAGTGACCAACAACAACAGCACGATGGTGATGACAGGCATGCGGATCCAGATTGGCACGCAGGCCATAGAGCGAGCGCCCTCCTACCTGGAGATATTTGGGCGCACCATGCAGCTCAACTTGACGAGGGCTCGCTGGTTTGATTTCCCGTTCACTCGCGAGGAAGCCCTGCAGGCTGACAAGAAGCTCACTGTCTTCAGTAAGTCTCTGTGGGTTGCTTGCCTCGACCCCCTCTTGGATGGCCTTGTTGAAGCCATTGGGCTTGATGTCGCACTAGAGTGGATTTCCACAAGCTCCTTCATCTGACCACAGAGAAGGGTTGAGGTGCAGGTCCTGCCCGTGCAGTGTTTCTTGAGGGCCATTTATTTGTTATAGAGAACAAATGTGCAGCATTTCAGTTCAACTGGAGAATTTTGTGTTGAGGTAACACAGAAGGAAAGCGACTCTGTAAAGAGGTGAAGCTCTGAGTGGATGTTTACGAGGGTGTAACTGTTATCCTGACCTGAAGAAGTTGTTCTCGTTGATATTCAGGAGCAAGTATTTTGTGAATGTCTAAGAAACCTCTCTTGTTGCTGCAGTTGGGGCTTCTGTGGATCCTGCTGGAGTCACCATGATCGATTCCATAAAGATTTATGGCAAAACCAAAGAGCAGTTCGGGTGGCCCGACGAGCCCCCTGAGGATTTTCCATCTGCTTCCGTGAGCAACGTTTGTCCCTCAAACCTGAACCAAGGGAATGGCACTGGAGACACAGAGACAACTGCACCCGCTGCTGCCAGCGGAACCGTTCTGGAGAGGTATCTCTCTAGCCTTGCTTTTATTTGCCTTTGAAAACTGACAAGTTGCTCTAGATACGCTTGTGATCCCTTAACTGGGAGGACATACAGGGTTAGCGAAGCCTTCTCTTTGCTACAAAACATCTGCAGAGTTAGTGATGTTCTTCCCAAGAGGGTGTCCCACTTAACTCTTGAAGTGTCTGGTGGAGTGGAGGAGCAGAGGGCCGTTCTGTGCTCATGCTTCATGCGGCTGAGTTCAGTTGTTCTGGCTGTCTTGATGAGCTGGAGGAGATAGCTCCTGCCTCGGCCCATTTCCTCCTTTCGAGGTAGCCCCTTTTCCAGTCCCCAACAAAGGTTGGGCCCTCTGAACCTGAGGTCAGTTTTGAGGGAGATGTGATGTCCTTGGACCTTGTCCTAGAGGAGCGGTTCCCAACAGCTTATCTTATAGGCAGGACTTTATGGGGCTGTGTATCAGAAACAAGAGAACTTTTCCATCCATCCTATTTTCTTTCCGGGAGCCTATTTGGTCTGTAGGGATGGGGGGAAAACTGCAAGCAGGCAGGAACAGGAGGGAAAATGGTCCGAGAGGAACCAGCACTGCTGAGAAAGAAGCGTTTTAAGGTGTACGCAGCTTGACTCAAGTGGAGTAAGTGACTGAAATGACTTGAAGGACAAATGATTTTTGTCCTAGTCAGCGCCATACCTAAAGGGGCAGTTGCATCCAGGTGAAGGCTTTCAGCATCCGTTGGTGTCCTGTGATTATGTTACATAATAGTGCATGGAATTTTTTTCCTGGAGCTAGCTGCGCTTCCCTCCTCTGCTGCGGCATCTCCACAAGGTGTCTCTCTGTGCACAGACATGCTTTGTGGTGGGGGGCGGTTCAGAGCAGTGAGGTTGTTTTCTCAAAACCCAGAACCCCCCAAAATGGTGATTTCTCTCTAAGTGTTACAAAACGTCTTTACCTTATAATGGGCCTCCTGAGTAGCAGCAGCTAACGGCAGGCAAGAGGCAGCTTTCCCCTCAGAACTTGGGTGTCTGCACCTTGCAACTCGAGTGCTGCATTAAGCCGTGCGCTTGGCTTCTCTGCTAGGTGCTCTGGAGATCCTTTAATTTTCTTTTGCTATTAGGTAGAAGGAGTCATGCTTAGATTTACTGTACATATTGCTCTGCCAGCTTCATTATTTCCCCCATTTAATTTGCCTTTTGCTTAGACTGTGTTCTAGGGAGTGTTTCTGTGAGCTTTACACACATATATATATTTTTTTTCCTTTTTCTTTGCTCCCCCAAAGTTCAGACACCGAGTCCCTAACCACCTTGGACCGGTCAGTATGCCATCCTTTTCTCTGCACGAGTGAGTGTGTGTCAGAGAGCCTGAACACATGCTGTGGCTTCTGTTGACTGTTTTATGGGGTTTTCTTTGTTTGTTTGTTTTGTTTCGTTTATTTATTCATTCAAGTGCCATTTGCTGCTTTACATTCTGGTCATTGCATGGCAGATGATTTAGCACAATGTAAAGAGGAGGCAAATTTACTGCTTTTGGCTGGATCCAGCATTGGATCCACTGTTGGTTGGACAGACTCTTCTGGCTTTCGTCCCTGCTCGTGTCTCCTTCTCCCCCTTACATTCCCCTACCAGCTCTGTGGAGAGTGGCTGAGAGTAGGGGACCGTCCTGCCACTTATCACCCCCACAGCAGAGAATCTGCCGCCTCCCGGTGCTCCCTGTGCTCCGTAGCATCTGCTCCGTCCTCGTGGTTCCCTCCCGTTATCCGTGCTCTCTGTTTTGGTTTGTCTGACGGTGGTTCAGGGAGCTGTACCCTGAGGGCGGTTGGGCTGCAAGCTGTAAATAAGGTTTCCCTTCCTATACGTAAGGTTTCCCTCTCTATACATAAGGTTTCCCTCGGGGCGAGTGTTTTACTAACCTGCCTCAACCCGCTGCCCCGAGCTCCCCAGCTCAGGCCCGTTGCACTTCAGCATCCCTTGCTTGGGTCATACTGGGTGCTCAGAGCGAATTTTCCTCCCAAATCTTTTGGGCTCAAACTCCAAATTGGAAAGAGCAACCTGTGTGGAAATAGGGAGCGGGTGGAATCTCGCTCCCTTGGAGAAGTCGGTTCCGCTTTTTCCCATGTGTCATGCCAAGCCTTGATCTGCAGTCATATGTACGTCTGTGGGCCATGGTGAATTGGTACTGTCAAGACAATCCAAGTTATCCCTGCTGCAGGCTGCGTAAGGAAATGTTTTATCCTCTTTGGTAGAGAAAAGCCCCTGTCTTTCAGCTGTGGATTATTAAAGCAGTCCTAAGTTTGTCTGTGAGCGTGAGCCAGGTTTAACTCTGGTCTGTAACACAATGAAATGATATGCATGGTGCCTGTGGCAGGTTTTATCATGCTTTGATTTTGTACTTGGCATTCGTTAGCTGTCTCTGAGCTACTCACGACTGTAGCCTGCATAAAGCAAAGTGCTAAGGAGGGAGAGGGGCTGCTGTACTCAAGGCTGCTTTTCTTTCTCCCTCCAGGCTAGTAGTGAGTTCTTTAGAAGCGCTCGAAAGCTGCTTTGCTGTGGGACCAGTCAACGAGAAGGCAAGTAACTTTGTGAATAGGGGCTTGAGCTTTGCGAGGAGGGGCAAGATCAGCAGCACCTCCTGCAGCCCCGGGGGCCTGATACCGCCAGAGAGCCGCATCCGCTTCGCTCCCAGCCCTGATCCGAAAGTTGACTTAGCGAAAAGCACTTGAAACTACTTTCAGATGACAGTTGGCATTTGCATTTATTGCTGGTTTGTGTGTGTGTGTGCGCGCTGTAGAGTGACCTCATTTGCAAAAGCAGCAGGGTGGCAGCCCACAGATCTCAGAAGCACTTGTGTGTATGAAATATCCTTTAAATGTCAACTAATAAATTGAGTCGGGATATCAAAACTAGGCTGAATGGAGGTAGAAACCTGCATCCTCAGTGAGGATGAGCAAAGTGAAGGGGGGAGCCTCAGGTTCATTGGGAAATCAGATTATTTTGTGTTGCCTTCATGGTAAATGTACTCAGGAATATGTTTTTTGTCTGTTTGGGGAGCAGGAGAAGAATAAGGCGGCAGCTCAGGAGCTGGCCACCATGCTGCTGTCCATGCCGGCTCCTTCCAGTGTCCAGCAGCAAACGAAGAGCCTCTTGGCCAGCTTGCACACCAGCCGCTCGGCGTACCATAACCACAAGGTAACGCGCAGGGAGGAGCCGGCCGTCCCTGTCACTCGTCAGCTTATGGCTGAGCTGCAGCACACCCCTGGGAAGAGCTGCATCCGTGCAGGTTTATTCCTGCTGGGTACATTTCCTTCAGGTGTTGCTGCCTGCCCTTCTGGCAGCGTTTCATTAGAACTGCACAACCTAAAATACTTTTGGGAGACTTTGGTGGGGAGTGATATTGATTATTTTAGAGAAATCATTATATTTAAGCACGTGAGGTTTGTCTGCCAGATGTTTCCCATGGGTCTGCTTCCCATTTCTGCAGGCATCTCATTTAGCGTGGTAGGAAAATGCAAGGGTAAATAATGACTAGTCTGCGCACTAACATAATTTTAGATGAATATGTAGATTCTTGTTGCAAGTTGTTTGCTTGCCAGTTGGCAAGCAAAGACCGCATTTATACACAGTCCTTTCCATTCATATCTAAGTCTGTGGAGAAAAAAAATGATGCAAATCAGTAATTTGGCCAGACTCTTTCCTGTTGTTAATTGTCTTTTTAATATCAGTTGTCCTTCTTGAATGACACTGAGCAAGAGTTAATGCAGGGAGTGCCAAATTTCCCCATGATGTTTCCCCATATTTCAGTTGTTTTGATGCTGCCACCTCTTTTGTTCCTTTGCCTACGGTGTCTTTTTCTTTATAGGATCAAGCATTGCTCAGTAAAGCCATTCAGTACTTGAGTTCCTCAACCAAAGAAGGGAAGGATCTTGATCCTGAAGTGTTCCAGAGGTTGGTCATCACTGCTCGATCCATTGCTATCATGAGACCCAACAATCTCGTTCATTACACGGAGTCAAAACTGCCACCGTTGGAATCAGGTAGATGAGTCTGGGTTTTTATTCAGTTTTCTCGTGTGATAACTGAGCTTGTCGTGTGGTGTCTGGTTCAGCATTGCAGTGATCAGAAATACTTTGTTCTGGAGAGCTTTAAATTAGCGAAGACACTGTGAACATTCACAGATCCTTTCACCTTTCTTCTCTAAAGGGCTACTGTTCCACAATCTCTGTAGAATTTACACTATTTAAATCTAACAAATGCCACAGTTCAGGCAATAAGGCAGGAAAGCAGCATCCTTAGCATGGATTCAGAGCAAAGATATTAAAAGGGATCAATTGCTGCTGTAAGGAAATAAAGGTTCCCACAAATACGCTTTGGCAGAAGATGCAGAGGACTGCTTATAATACATGTCTCTCTCTTGAGCAATCCCAGTTTTTAAAGTATAAACAGGACTTGACATGTTTGGTATGAAATGGTCCTTGTAATGAGGATATCAGAGCCTCCAACAAAAGCCGTTTCAAATAAACTTAGTGTTACTCTGCTGATTGAAGCTTTTGCCTGTGCAAATTTGACAGCTCTTCTTTGATCTGTACAGAGAGTGAAGAAGGACAAGAGGCCCAGAAACATGCTGAAGGAGAAGGGTGCACGTTTATTACCCAGCTGGTCAACCACTTCTGGAAACTGCACGCGTCAAAACCCAAAAATGCCTTTCTTGCTCCTGCCTGCTTGCCAGGTGCGCCAGCTGTTCATTTGCTCTAGTCAGGCTTGTGTATTTTGCAGAAACCTACTTTAAGCTTGTAAATAAATGAATAAGTGACTGGTTCCAAATTCGACTTAAAATCTTAATCATGCCATGTATGCATTCTAAGTACATCTGCACATTCTGCTCTAGGGCTTTTGTTAAACATTAGGGGACTGATGGTTTCTTTGTATTTGATAGTGTGGATGGTCATTTTGGTGTCAGAGGATATTCAGCAGCTCTGGCATGTGGCATGTGCACTGTTAGTGTTCCTTACGTTAGACTAGCACGACTGTAGGATTAACTCACTTTGAACTGGAACCAGAAGACGCTTCCAGGAGTGTCGTTCCAGGTAGACGATCACAGTTCTGTTTTCCTCCCTCTTCAGGTCTGACTCACGTTGAGGCCACAGTCAATGCTTTGGTGGACATTATTCACGGATACTGCACTTGTGAACTGGACTGTATCCACACAGCATCCAAGATCTACATGCAGATGTTACTTTGCCCTGTACGTAACCTCGCTCTGCTCTATGTTGTCCTGTAGCGTTGGTAACGTGGAGACAGTTAAGCAGAAAGTCATGTGAAATGAAACACACAACTGGGAGACAAGCAAACAAATGAGAAAATTCTCTCTCCCTGTACTTTAGTAATGTGTGTCGTGCACTGCATGTGGAAAGAGAAGTAAAGCTGGTGGAAATGCAACGTTTAGAATTCAGGAGGTGACTTGCACCTTCCATGCCTTGCGACCAGCAGAGAATCAGAAGTGTATCTTTAGTTGCGTTTCCATGTACAGCAAAGGAGCAGTAAAAACTCAAAGTTTACCAATTAACTGTTAATCCCGTAGGATCCTGCAGTGAGCTTTTCTTGCAAGCAAGCTTTGATCAGAGTGCTGAGACCGAGGAACAAGCGGAGACATGTGACTTTGCCATCTTCCCCTCGGAGCAATACTCCCATGGGTATGCAAGATCCCTTTGTCTTTATCTTTAAACAAGCATGACCTGCCTTCTTGGTAGGTCATCACATAAAGCAATAAGGGGCTCATTTTTTTAACTATAATATATATAACTATATATTTGTCCTTTAAATGGAACAAAAACTGTCTTTCTGCAGTCTTGTTTTTTCTTTCTTCTCTTTTGTCCCCTAAGTCTATATTCTTTCAACATTCGGCCCTCCCTTGATACTACAAGTTTCAAATTCAAGATCTAAGATAGACCTGTTTCAGTGGTAGGGACATCTGGCTCTTTGCCCTAGGGATATAGTAGTTCAGACAACTGTAGTATTTTTGTTTGTATTTTCAAGTCCTTAGAAACCAGTATTGAAAATGTGTGCAAACTGAAATTAGTGCATCAGATTTCCACCCAGAGTTGTTTTTTTAGCATTTATGTGAATTGTAGTTGTCACAGAAGCTGTTAAAGACTGTGGGTAAATGCAGGACAGCTTAGTTTTTTTCCATCCAGCTTATCCCATACTCTTAGGGAGACTTGCAGGCTTGAAGGTATTAAAGTTTCAGCCTCACAAATGCTTCCGATTCCTGCAACAGGTAGAAGTGGGATTAAAAACCTAATACTGAGGTGCAGCGTTGAAACCCATTGTTATAGAGCTGGCACACTGTTGATGCTCATGATATCAGTGACCTTGTTCTTGACCTGGGGAAAGAGTGTGTTTGTGACCTTTATCTTCCATAATTTCAGGAGATAAAGATGATGATGATGACGATGATGCAGAAGACAAGCTGCAGAGCTCTGGAATCGCAAATGGCGAGCATATCCGACAGGAGAGCCAGGAGCAAAGCGAGGTTGATCACGGGGACTTTGAGATGGTGGTAAGTCTGGAGCACTCCTCTTTGGAGCTTTTCAAGTCTGTTATTTGCGTGGATTTAATTTAGTTATGATGGATCAACCTGTAGAGCTCCGTTAGCTAGTTTGACAGCAGCTCTCACTGTGTTCCTTCTCCCCAGTCCGAATCAATGGTGCTGGAGACTTCTGAAAATGTGAATAATGGGAACCCTTCCCCCCTGGAGGCTCTTCTGGCTGGAGCAGAGGGTTTCCCGCCAATGCTGGACATTCCTCCAGATGCAGATGATGAAACGATGGTGGAATTGGCTATTGCCTTGAGCCTGCAACAAGATCAGCAAGGTGGGATTGTGTGTGTTATTGGTAGTCAAAAAGACAAGCAGGATATCAGGATATTGAGAAGGAAATGGAGCAGAAACTATTGATGTGACCGCTAACAAAGCAGAGTTAATAGAACTTAAAAACGTCCTGGAAGGCCAATGAGCTCTCTCTTCTTGAAAGCTTTTTTTACCCTCATGTTCATTTGTTCCTCTCTTGCAGGGAGCAGCAGTAGTGCCCTTGGACTTCAGAGCTTAGGACTGTCTGGCCAAGCACCCAGCTCTTCTTCTCTTGATGCTGGGACGCTCTCTGATACTACAGCATCAGGTAACTGTTCACTGCAAAGAATCAAACATTTTAAACTCATATAAAAAAATATACAACTATCCTGCTTGTGCTCTGCTGTCTTCTGCAGTGCTTAATTTTTTTCAAAATGCTTTTGCAAAAGAGCGCTTCAGCAGGCTGCTGTTTTGCTCATTGCTGTGAAATGAGCCATACCACTAGATATTTGCAGCTTAAAGGCTGTTTTTGCTTTTCTTGTGCTTAGGTGGCTGTAACGGCCCTAATTAAGGAAAAGTGTCTGGGGGTGAATTTTTGATCTTGCATGTGGATAGGATTGAAGTTGATCTGGATGCCAGTTTTGGCAATGTGCTACCTCTTTATTTAATATTAGGAAGACCTAATAATTAAAATGCAGGAAGATCTAAAAATAAATAAATACAACGTTATGCTCTTAACTTCCTTGGTGTTTTCCCAGGCCCAGGGCAAACACTTAGGAAATTGTTTCTGTGCAGGCAGAATGTTGTGTGCTGCCTGCACTTGCATGTGTTAGCATCTGCTGGTATCAGTAGCTAACAGCATGTGCTTTTCACTTGTTTTTATGATTGTTACTCAGTTCTCTTTAGCAAGTTTCATCTGTGATTTCTAAATGCTGAATTAAAATTTTCTGATAAATAAGGTTTTGAAGAATCAATTATTACTGTTGGCTTTGTGTCAAGCATATAACTATCTATTTGATGAGAAGGCTTCCTTCTCCAAAGACCCCCCTTCCCTGCTTTTAGCAGGCATGAATGTACTAATGACACCTCCAAATTCTTTTATGATTCTTAATTGAAAATTGCCCGAGAAACCAAAGATGAATCCTTATGGCTTTCCTTTCTCAGTGCCTGCTGCTTTTGGAGCCGCACCAAGACGCTGTTTTTACTTGTAACAGCTCTCGTTATCCTTCTAGCTCCAGCGTCCGACGACGAAGGCAGCACAGCTGCGACTGATGGCTCGACCCTCCGCACGTCGCCGGCCGAGCACGGCGGCAGCGTGGGCTCCGAGAGCGGCGGCAGCGCCGTGGACTCGGTGGCTGGCGAGCACAGCGGTGAGCACCTCTTGCTGCGCGTCACACCACAGCTTTGCGGCGTGGCAAGGAGAGGATGCAAGATGGAAAGAATTCCCTAGCTTGCTGCATGCCTTTTGATGGGATAGAATTTAAAGGTCATCAGTAATCATAGAATGGTTAAGGTTGGAAGGACCTCCAGAGGTCTTCTAGTCCAACCCCCTGCACATGCAGGGTCACCCAGAGCATGTGGCACAGGGCTGCATCCAAGTGGATCACAGACTTCTGCAAAAAAAATATGTCTGTATTGCAATCAGTATACCTCTTTCAGCTCTACGTTTGTAATTATTGCTGTGGAACCGGTTCAGTTTGGGCCATAAAGATGAGGGTGGCGAAGAGGACATTGCTAGTGGTGTTAAGCAGTATCTGTGCAAGTGACACCTGAGGTTTTAAGGCTGAAGATAACCACAGACCCCGTCTCCTTATGGCCATACTTTTGAAAGGATAGTTCAACTTTGTGGGTTGCCATTGCTGGCGTTATGGTGACTCCAGCATATGGGTTATATGGGTTGCATATGTTCCATTTTTCTAATAATGTCTTTTTGCTTTTTCTCTCCCTCTCCCTCTCCCTCTCCCTCTCCCTCTCCCTCTCCCTCT